GGGGGGGGGTGCTCAGTCAAAATTGTCCAAGACAACCACCCAAGAAAGTCGGGAAGAAAAGTGGTTGTCTCAGACAGGAGGATACCATGGACGGTGTCATTATAGTATAGAAAAAACAAAAGGTGGGAAGTGGTTATTTGTATGGTAGATTGTCTTAGACAGGTGGCTGTGAGAGAAGTTTTAACTTCAGTTTATGCTGAGACATATCCCAAAATGTTTCTAACAACATCAACAATCATCTTCTTCATCTTCTCTGTCTACATAAGACATTTCACGGTCACATCTCAAAAGAAAACGAAAAATGTCCAGGACTAAAGCTACAGTTGTATACAATCTATTTTCCTACTTTAAAAAAATGTTCTTGAGCTCTAAAACAGTTATACACTGTTTTAAAGAAGGCATCTATCGACCATGCTCGCATGATCTAGAGATGAAACCAGGTTCTTAGGTAGAAGAGACAAAAATGTTACCACCAGCCAAACAAATCTTTAACCCATAATTTTGGTGCTAGCTTTTATACAGGCTTCATTAGCAACTGTCACACTATGCTCAATAGAATAAATGAAGTAAAGGTGTCAGATTATGAGCACATACATTTACATCTTATTTTTATCATGGTGTAAATGCTTTTGATTCAACACAAGATAAGTTGTTCCGTATTATCAGTAAAATTCTGGACGGTGATATGTGTACTTTATCTCTTTCCACACAGTTTATTCATTTCAAAGGCGAAATTTCTACAGAATCTTAAGGCAAAAATCTCAAACCCTTTGAAAATAAATTAAAATTAAAAGATGGTATTATTTACCCTAAATTCGAACTCAGGATTTTCACATTTAATAGTAGAAGCTTAGTTGTCTCAACAATTGCTGCAGTAAAAAAAAAGAGTGGAAAGCACACCTGGAACAAATAGTGATGAACACCCTTTGGAACAGAATACTGGTTGATTTCCAGGTCAGCGTTGATAGCACCAGTCAGCAAGTTTTCGTTGTTCACAAGGTGAAGGAATGTTGATCCTCGGATCTCCCCGTGCATAATGCGAAGAAGTTCTCCATCCTATGAGCAGAGGATTGGCAAAGTGAGGATGTATAATAAAAAAAGTCTTAAGGGAGGGAGGGAGGGAGGAAGAGAGAGAGAGAATTAGAAAGAGAGAGAGAGAAAAAGAGAGAGAGAGAGAGAGAGAGAGAGAGAGAGAGATAGAAAACGAGAAAGACAGAAAGATACAGAGAGAGAGAAAAAAAGAAGGAAAAAACGGTGGAAGAGGAAGGGAGGGGATAGGTAAATGTAACATAATGTCGATATATGTTCAATATCCCCTCAACGCACACTCAACAGAGTAAACATTACACACCATGCTCACCTACTAAGGCAGGTGCTGTTTTTTCTTGACTATAACATCCTCCTCCCCCCTCCCCCTCCCCCTCTT